ATCACCAAAGAGGAGAAACAAAAGAAACTATGGGTTGACCACTTGAAAAAAACTCTTGAATTGACCACTGCCACCGCCACCATCACCTGCAACTCGTCCAGAAATATCACCAGCAGCCTAGCCATAGAACTGTCAGTGAACACAAGCCGTGCGACAAAAGCCGAAGTGAAGTCTTGAACTCCATAAAGTTCCTTAAATCCAGGAAAGCAGTGGGACCACGTGGAATTCCACCAGAAGTACTGAGAACAGAGGCAGAGACAACAACGGACATGCTCACACCACTATTGCTGAAGGTTTGGAAGGACGGAAACAAACCTTCAGATTGGAAGAAGGGTTACCTTGTCAAACTCAAAAGCAGGGCTGCCTAAGCTTTTGCAAGAACTGGTGTGGAATCATGCTTCTTCTCTGTCCATTTCAAGCAAAATATTAGCCACATCATCCTGGAGAGACTAAAAGATGCACTGGATTCAAAGTTACTACTGGAACAGGCTGGTTGGTTTCGGGAAGAACAAATCATGTGCGGATCAAATGGGAACGCTACACTACGCATCATCATAGAACAGATCGTTGAATGGCAGTCAAATCTCTACCTCAACTTCATTGATTTTGAAAAGGCTTTAGACAGTGTCGCTCGAGAAGTAATTTGGAAACCGCTTCAACACTACGGTTTTGTTGCCACAAACCTTTATGAATCTTATTCAACAGCAGCTATATGACGACGCCACATGCTAAGTGATTCACGATAGAAATCTCGGTGAGACCTTTGAAATGAAGACAGGAATGAGTAGCACAAAGTTTCTTTCTACTATCACCGATCATCTTCCTGATGGTGGTCGATTGGATTATGCAGTGAACCGTGAGGAGCGGGAAGTTGGGCATACACTGAACCAATGAGAGTTTCCTAGAAGATTTGGTTTTCACCAATGATTTATGTCTAATGTCGCACAAACTCCAGGATCTACAGGAAAAATCAACAAGTTGACAGAAAAGGCGGCGAAGACGGGACTTCAAGTGAACACAGGGAAGACGTAGGTGATGAAGATACCCAAGCAACAACGACGTCGACAACAAGCACCAATCACTATGAACGGGAGAAACCTAAACGAAGCAGTCTCTTTCAACTACCTAGGCAGTGTCGTTTCAACTAAAGGTGCCACATGCACACATGATGACGTCATAGCCAGGATCGGAAAAGCAAGACAGGCCTTTATCAATCTGAAACCAGTGTGGAGATCTTCTGCACTCAACTCAGCATAAAGCGTGAACAACATCCTGATTTTAAACACTAATGCCAGTTACGTCAGTGCTTTTATGTGATGGTTGAGAGGCTTGGCGAGTTTCGAAAAACATTTCCAACCAACTGCAGACATTCATCAACAGCTGCCTACGCTCGTTGCTGAAGATGAGATCAGATGGCCAGAAAGAATAAGCAGCAAGGAATTCACTCTGGCGACGAATCATCCAACCAAGAACTCGTCACCCAACAAATATGCAGACGAAGAAAACGGAGATGGATTGGGCACACACTGAGAAAACCATTCGGAGACACCATGCACTAGGCCAGGTCGTCGAGTGGAATCCAAATGGTAAACGACGAGTTGGGCGTCCGAGGCGAGGTTGACATGGAAGAGATGGTGTGAAGAAGAAATGGAAGCTTCTGGGCAGTGGTAAAGCGAGGCTCAACAGTCTACAGAGAACAGAGTACAATGGCGACGTGATACTGAAGCCCTATGTTCCACTAGAAACCCAAGAGACATATAATAATGATAATTATCTTCCAATTATTTATTCTCTTACACAACTTCGTTTATTTTGGTATCTACCAATTTTCTGTGTACTACTGTGAAGTACGGTCGCTTGAGCAGATGCACCGGTGCGCAAGGTTCAGCTGTGATTTTGCCAGTCAGTCAACAACTAGAACTTTGATTGTTTTAGCAAGACAAAACTACTCAATATATATGCATATTATAATATAAATTTTTAGGTGAATACATCGTATTGTGAGCCTTTTCCTTTCTATTTAGTCCGAGTGTATTCATATGTAGGTTGGCTTAAGTTCGAGTAGTGTTAGTTAGTCATGAAGCTCAGTAACTATTCACAGTTTCATGTGCTAGACTATGAGTTATATCCATTGTGTGTGTGTGTTTGTATTTCTAGGGTGAACATATGATACCATCTAGTCACCTGGATGAGTATTGATGAAGTGGTTCACAACTTTGTACTCACTAGTTGAATAAGATTAGGGCTTAAGATAGCCAATGAAATATATTTCCTAACTTGATCCTAACATGCTTTTCAATTATGATGGGGTATGCTATATTCTGTCACAATGGATGAATTTAGTTAGTGGGGTAACCTAAGAACTCACTATTCCAGCAGTAGATTTTATGGCACACTTACTAATCTTTGGGTTATATCTCATCTGTGAAAGCTTATGCAGCAATTTGGTTTCTTCAGACCAAAGTAGGTAGAGAACAGGGTTTGAATCTGTATACGTTTGGTAGGAAATTAGGTAAGTGTAGAATGACAGACCTTATTTATTGATTATTTATTTGTCCCTTGGGTTTTTAATGGAACATAAGGCTTCAGTAACACGTCTCCATTCCACTCTCCTCTCTGCAAACATTTGAACCTAGTTCCACGACAGCCCACAAACCCTCATTTCCTCCTCACACCATCTCCTCCATGTCACCCACACACGCCAAACTCGTCGCTTCCAATCTGGGTTCCACTTGAGAGTGTGGCCTGGCGCGTGATGTCCCAGTGTCTCAATGTATGCCCAATGCATCTCTACTTCCTTCTGCATATTTGTTGAGTGATAGGTTCTTGCTTTGTTGGTTCGTTGCCAGCCAGTCAGCCAGAGTTCCTTGTTGCTTATTGTTTCTAGCCATTTTATCTTCAGTATGGAGTCAGCGTAGGCAGTTGTTGATGAATGTCTTTAGTTTGTTGGGAATGCCTTTCGTAACGCGCCAAGTTTCTGAGCCATACAGAAGCACTGACTTGACTGACGTTTGTGTTGAAAATTCGGATGTTGTTCAGGCTTTATGCTGAGTGCAGTGCAGTAGATCTCCACACTAGTTTCAGGTTAATGAACGCCTGTGTTGCTTTTCTGATTCTGACTTTGACATCCTCGTCTGTACCTCGTGTAGTCGAAACAGTGCTGCCCTGCCTAGATAGGTGAAGGAGGCTACTTCTTTTAAGTTTCTCCCGCTGATGGCGATTGGTGTTTCTTCTTGTTGTTGGTTCGGTATCTTCATCACCTAGAATGACAGACCTTAGTAAGATCAATAATCTAAAAAAAACCCGGCTATTTTAATCAATGCATTAAAATATAACACAATTGAGTAGGATAAAACCACTGCACTCAAGTTCAATATAATTCGGTGAAGAAAGAGATCAGTGTTGTTACTTGTAATATCCCGCTAAAACCCAAAACAATACCCGTCGCACAAGAAGCACCTATCTAGGCTCGGTGGTGTAGTGGATAACGCTTTGGCGTTTGAAGCGGTCACGAGTTCAAATCACTCACTAAGAGGCAGGTACATCCAGCTGACAATTCCCAAATAGGACGGAACACGTATTATGCTGGATTTCATTGTTAGCCACCATGCTTCATTATTATAGGAGAAAGAGCTTGATTACTGGAGATTAGTTTATCAAATCTACACTCAATACATGCAATAGGAATGACGCAACACCTCTCTATACAACAGATATGGGACATTTAATTACCAATGAAAACAAAGAGTATAAGACGGGTGGCAGAATTGTAAAAACCGGATGTCGATATGGTTGTGGCTAGCAGAAGAATCCAGGACGCGCGTCCCGTCCTATTTGGGACTCGTCAGCTGGATGTACCTACACACCAGTGATGTTGGTCTCACTGAGACTCGAACCTCATATCCATCGCTTCAAACGCCAAGGCGTTATCCACTTTGCCATGGAGGAACGATAGCCACTTCTTGTACAACGGGTCATAGTTATTGCTATTTATTGACATACTTGTAATTCTCCGTTGTTTTGTTGGATCGAGTTGTTCGACCTCTATTGACATATGGACTCCTATGCAGATGCCTCGATATTGCCTGAATTTTAATTATGATAATTTGTTTGGTTGTGGCTAGCAGAAGAATCCAGGACGCGCGTTTCGTCCCATTCCGGACTCGTCAGCTGGATGTAGCTGCACCCCAGTCAGTTATGTTGTTCCCACTGAGACTCGGACATCGTACAAGGAAGAATAACAAGTATGTCGATAAATAGTAACAGATATCGAAAGTTGTATGATTATATTGATATGATTATGAGCAGTAATAATTTATGCTCGAAGCGTCATCAATTAGATAATACTGGTTCACAGTTTATCCCGTCAAGTAAAAAAACCTAACGCGAGTGGTTAACTTCATATAATATTGTCTTGGCATTCTATGAAAGGAGAATCAGGGGTATACTTTTCGTACTGTTTTCTTATCTTTCTCTTTACTCACCTCGACTGAAACTACGAACCGATCTTCAAACATCACAATGGTATCCAGTTAGTTATATAACTTATTTCTTGTGTACCAGATACTTCATACCGTGCTAAGATGTATTTACTGATCAAAGGACTAAGTTTGTTGCATTTCATATAATTGGTTTCCGATAAGGAATGCCTATTGTTAGTCGAATTGCTTCCTCACATATGTGGTCATCCAGAAAAATACTGGTGCAACTTAACATCTACACATACACCTAATGTTTGAAGTTCTCAGCATATACTTAGTGCAAAGTGAGAATTCTTAAAACTTTGATCATGAACAAATAAGCTGGGAACTTCATGAAAATATCAAAGAGAGTACATCTTTAGTTTCCAGTAGGAACTGGTTACTTCCTTTACTGTTTACAAGCATGCTAATATGGTATAGACATTGCGATGTGTTAGAAATTGTAGTGTAAACGTTTATTAAGTGTTGACTTTTTAAGAAAAATCAAGTTGAGCATTTTATTTATTTGCCTACATATAGAGATGAGGAAACAGAAATATCTCTACAACTGCCGGTGTCATATCCATGGCTATCGAATTACTCACAGGAATCATCCTCATTTGTAGATCTATACTTGGATCCAAATTGTGTCTATGAAGTATCAGTTTATTATTCTCTCGTCAGTTGGTTTTCACAAGTAAGTTTACGTGTATGTCTTTCTGTGTGTGTATGTGTGTGTTTATTTGTTTATTCAACGCACTACTTGAATCAAAATCAAAGAATGTATTCTACCATGGCATAACTTTTTCTGTTTTTATTCCTGCATGTTTGTAACCACTTTTTGCTGACTCATTGCGTGGAATCAGTAAGGTTGAATTCGAATAATAACAAACTTGTTTCATTGTAGCACTGAAGAACTGATGTGAGGAAATATATATTTCTTGTATATACGCCGGTGATCTTTGTTGATAATTTCCAATCAGTCTAAGATTGAAGTTTGTGGTTGTCTTAAGTTGGCATTGAAGCACTTAATGACCAGTATAAGATGAGAGGAAAAACAACAACAGAATATCTTGCTGACTGACAAAACTAACGGAATGCTTCACACACTGGTGCATTGAATCAAGTTGCCGCACCTCATCACAGTAGTATACGAAGAAAAGGTAGATAGAAAAAGTAATCAAAGTTGTGTGAGGGAATAGACAATATGAAGATGATGGTTAGTATGAGTATTCAAGCTTTCGAAGATGTCAAGGAGGGCCAATTTTCAAACATATCACTAACATATCTCAAACAGTGATTCCTTTCGTCTCTCAGATCCCAGTCAGACAGTCCATATTTTCCCATGCGACTCAAACCGATCGTAAGAGACTCCGTTAACTATTGGGACGTCTTGATCTGGTTACCCTCAACCATTTTACAATTTAATCCAATTTTGTTTTGCATGGCCTGTTGAGGTAGGCGGTGATACCGCATGCTCAACACAAGTTCAAGGTATCTTAGACGATGAAGGTTCACAATCTCATCAGTCGACTTGGTTATCTTGCCTGGGCTAAAACCGAAGAACAATAAAAAGGAGTAAGTTATACAAGAGAAAGACGTACTATATCTCATAAAAACACTCACTTTATTGGTTAGAATTGAAAGTGAATTAACGAAAGTATTACTTACTCACCTTATTACTTACATTGGACAATTCGATAAGTGAACACCGGCCATGATAGTAAGATGGTAGCATGAACCTTTCGTATTTTCTTATCAAATGGTTTGTCTAATTGCTTAAATGTGAAGAAATATTGAAAGATCGTTGGTATTATGGAAGCATTACTTGCATGCTTTAGAAGCACAGGGTGGAATGCTAGGCAAATAAGGTTTGTGAACCTATATCATCTGAAGTTGTTCAGATGCTGCTTAACTCATACTTCGTCATTATCTGTCCAAACATGAACCTTTAGCTTGACTCGAATCAGGTTGAAGGAAAACTAAGGCTGTTGTGTGAAGATACATGGTTGCTAGTGCTTGAGGTCTCTGACTTATGATCTGAGTTTTGTAGTGAAGTATAAGTGGTTAAGCCTCTCTAAATGTCAAGCATTCGATTGAAATGACTCGAAATCAATCGTAGTGATGCAGATGTGAAGCAGTGGTTTATTTGTTTAGCCACTTCACTTTCAACCAATCATCTGCGAGTTCGAACCCTTCTCTATCTACTGAGGTATGGGCATCCAGGTAGTATCATTAATTCACACACATAACGTTTATTTCATTGCGTACTGCATGAATGTACCTGTAGTTGCTGAGTACATTTTGATGTATATTTCCAGATGTATTTCGTCCTTCACATCATGGGATTTCTGAGGATTTTATTGAATTACATTAATTTTCTTTTTTTCTCCTCCACCTTTCTTCTTGTTTATGCAATATATTTTCATTTTTATTGGTAGTAGTATTAGTCATATTTAAGAGAAAAGAAGAATTTCTGTTGCATTATGAAGTACATTTCACTGATCGGTTGATGGATTTCTATATTTTTCAATTCATAGTACGAGATAATGAAAGCATATTTAGTAAACTGTTTTTAAACAAATAACTTGACCACTATCGAGTCTTTGGTTGAGTGACTTCCATTGGAAACCTAATCGAAAGTTACAAACTACTCAGATGAGAAAAGTGTTATTGTGAAGTATATTTGTGTATTGTTCTCTGGACTCCTAAAGGAAGAACATTCTGTATTGCGTAGAATTTTGAAGCTTGTTAATAGAAGGAGTAGTAAATTATTGAACATACTGTTAGGTGGGGTTGTGGATAAGCATCTAAACACTTGTAGACAGCTGGCTCGGAAATATTTTATCTGGTGGCCAGAACCTCCATGCATTTGTACCTTTCTCCATGTCTGTCCTCAAGGGGAACTAGAAGCAAATACATAAGACTTTATGAAATCACAGCTACATACAAAACTTCAATCATGGAACCTTATTTAGCTTGTGTATAGCGTGAAGAGAATTATGTTAGACATAAAGAAATATGCTGTAGCGAACAGTAATCAAGATCCTGAAGTCTCTAAGCACTTCAACAATCCTGTTATTCTTTGTTATATATTGTTAATCAGCACCATTGTTAATTGTTATTATTTGTCGCTTGGGTTCCTAATGAAACATAAAGCTTCAGTAGCACGTCATCAATGCACTCTGTTCTCTGAAATCTTTTGAACCTGGCTCCACGACAGCCGAAAAACTCTCATTTCCTCCTCACACCATCTCCTCCATGTCACCCCCACACGCCAAACTCATCGCTTCCAATCTGCGTTCCACTCGAGAGTGTGGCCTGGCGTGTGATGTCTCCAGTCGGTCTTCTCAGTGTATGCCCAATGCATCTCTACTTCCTTCTGCATATTTGTTGAGTGATAGGTTCTTGCTTTGTTGGTTCGTTGCCAGCCAGTCAGCCAGAGTTCCTTGTTGCTTATTGTTTCTAACCATTTTATCTTCAGTAAGGAGCTAGCGTAGGCAGTTGTTGATGAATGTCTTTAGTTTGTTGGAAAAGCTTTTCGTAACGCGCCAAGTTTCTGAGCCATACAGAAGCACTGACTTGACTAACGTTTGTGTTGAAAATTCGGATATTGTTCAGGCTTTATGCTGAGTTCAGTGCAGTGCAGTGCAGTGCAGTGCAGTGCAGTGCAGTGCAGTGCAGTGCAGTGCAGTGCAGTGCAGTGCAGTAGATCTCCACACTGGTTTCAGATTAATGAACGCCTGTCCTACTGTCTTTCCGATTCTGACTGGCTTTGACGTTCTTGTCTGTGTCTGTGCCGTTTGTAGTTGGAACAGTACTTCGTAGATAGGTGAAGGAGGCTCCTTTTTTTAAGTTTCTCTTACTGATGGTGATTGGTGTTTGCTGTTGTTGTTGGTTGGGTATCTTCATCACCTCTGTCTTCTCCACGTTCACTTGGAGTCCCGTCTTCGCTGCCCTGCCCCGTCTGTCAACTTGTTGGATTCCGCCTGTAGATCTTCGAGTTTGTGTGACATCAGACACAAGTCGTCGGCGAAATCCAAATTTTCTAGGTTGTTTTCCGTGGTGCTCGCTCCTCACTGTTTGTTGCATAATATAGTCCACTACAATCAGGAATATCATGGGTGATAGTAGACGGCAGCCTTGTCTTACTCCTGTCTTCACTTCGAAAGCATCACCGAGCTTCCCATTGTGAACTACTTGACATATGGCGTCTTCACATAGTTGTTGAATGAGATTGATAAAGGTTTGTGGTGTTGCGCAGTATTGAAGCAACTGCTAAATTACTTGTTGGTCGACGCTGTTGAAGGAAGGTCTTCTCAAAGTGGATGAATTTGAGGTAGAGGGTTGACTGCCATTCTGTGTTCTGTTCTATGATGATGCGCAACGTCGCGTTGCAGTTTAGTCCTCACATGATTTGTACTTGCTGAATCCATCCTGTTCTAGTCGTAGTTTTGAATCCAGCGCATCCTTTAGTCTCTCCAGGATACATATTTTTAAATAGGTTGTACGATGGGTAAACCAATGCACTATCAAATGCGGAGAATTCTGTACCGTAAAAAAGTTATGTTTCGAAATAAAACCAATATTACATCATGATTTGACTCACTGAGATAGCATTAGTTTAGAAGACTAGTACTTATATTGAGTGATGATTGAGGTTGAAATGGAAATTTGGACCACGGCCTGATTCGAACCAGCGACCACCGGGTTTCTGGTCCGATGCTGTCGTAGCTCAGTTGGTAAAGCATCAGACCAGAAACCTGTTGATCGCTGGTTCGAATGCTACCGCTGTCCAGATTTTCGTTTCACCTTAAATCATCACCCAGTATCGATATAACATCATCAATTTGTTAAATATTTGTAATCCAATCATATAAATTATTTGTAAATTTTCTGACTTCAGCACTGAATGACATGTGTTTGAACCCTGAAGATTGAAGATGTGGCTTGCTGTTTAGTTGGAAGAAGCATAAATCCTGAACTGTCATCCAACGTCTAAATTCGAAAGGATTTTGTGCATGTTTTCACCAATTTTTAGTTCCCCACTTTTTGCTGTCTGTGAAGGATGATATCTTCTAGGTAATCAGACAGTACAATAACTGACATGATTAACGTAGAACCTCACACGTACAAGTGCATTATCTAAAGTTGCCACAATTCACTGTGGTAGTATATAAAGAACAAGTGAACAGCAAAAGACGTTTATCAAAGTAGACAAAGTTGTATGAGAGAATAAAAAAATCTGAAGATAAAGGTTAGTGCAAATATTAAAGCTTTAGAAGGTGTCGAGGAGTGAGTTTATCTGTACCACTGAGACCGATTTTCAGCCATGTCGCCAAGAGTTCTCAACCAGTGATCCCTTTCGTTTAGCAGATTCCAGTTAGAAAGTCTGCGTCTCCTCACGCGACTCAAAACAACTGGTGACACGTCCTGGCCTGGCTATCTTCAATGATCTTCCAACCTAATCCAACTTTCCTTAGCATAGCACCTTGGGGTTGGAGGTGGCACGACATGCTCAACAAAAGTTCAAGCCACCTCAGTCGATAAAGATTCACAATCTTACCAATCAACTTGCTTATCTTGCCTAGTACCTTTCGCCTGACTTCAACATTCCTCATTTCACCAAACACGAGCAATGTCACGAAGACTCTGTAATCGTGTTATGTTATGTACTTCATGTTATGTACTTTTGAT